CCTGCAGCCCTGCAGTAAACAGGGCCGTGTTTGGCAGGCGAAAGTGCCCCGGGGGGTTTAAGGAGCATCAAGTCTGAACAACGTTGCCTTCTGCTGGGGGTCAACAACGGATCCATCGCTGTTTACGCTGAATTTCTCCCTTGGCTTGGTGGCAGAGTTTGTGGGCAGCGCCTGGCTTTTGCCCCCGGAGCAGGCGGCACCGCCTGGCGAGGCCTTGCTCTGGGCTGCCTGGCTGAGTCCAGCTGACCGCGGTTGGGACCGCGGCTGGGCCAGGCTCACCCGCCTTCCTTTTCTGCCCTGCCTGTGATGCTGTGCTGCCTGGCAGCCTCTGGGCACACCTTGGTGCTGGTTGGGGATGGGTGGGCCAAAGGAAGCACCTGCTGGTCTCGTGGGTGGCTTCTTTTTCCCAAAGGCAAACCTGAGATGGTCTGTTGAAAACAGGAAGTGGTTCTGCGAAAAGAAAAAAGCAAGGCTGAAACACTGCTTTCTGAAATATATTTCCAAATAACGCGGGTTCTCTGAAATAGCTTCTACGGACGGGGAGTTCACCACCAGTGATAAAGGCATTTGTCATTGGGTGGAACAACCACAGCTGTCCTGGACCTCCAACAGGGACGTCTGCAGGGTGTGGTCAAAAAAGTCAAGATGGTGGCCAGGACACTGCGATGTAAGCTCTGCCTGAGTTTTGTGTGCAACAGATAAAACTGCCATCTTGACTTTTGTGACCATACCCTGTGGACACCCCTGACCTCCAAGCAGTTTTTAATATTTGTTGGGTTCTTCCTGAAGTCGCCATGAGAGTTAAACCACTTGGTTATGTAGCTAGACCTCAAGAATGTCTTCAGCAGAGGTGATGATTGTGCCTTTAACTCCAAACAGAAGCCAAGATCTGTGGGAGGCTCAGCGGCCAGTTTGGGGTCCAGAATGGGGGATGGATGGATCTGATTCCTGCAGCAGAAACCCTTCCCAATTTTGCCTGCTATTTTCCCACTGAAAAGTTGGGCTTCCAGGAAACATTGTAGTAAAGCAATCCTTGTATTTAACTAAACAGAACCAATGAGGGGAAAAAGGAAAACAAGGGAAGGAAAAGAAATGGTAAAGGCATCTCATCACCGGCATCTCCAGCAGTGGGCCAGGGAGTCAGGCTGATGAAAGCAGCAGTGTCACATCACAAGCTCCGCCCCTTTTATCTATTCTTGTGACGCTGCAGACACACTCACGAGGGGCAGACGTTCTTGTCATTTTGATAAAAGCTGCAAGATCCTGTGGAGGTCACTACTGCATGTCTCATGCAGATCAAAATGCACATGAATGAACTACATTTCGTTCTAACCGTCGGTACTTAGTCTGCGGCCATAAGTTGCAAGACTGTCCGTTCTTTGGTCCCTGGAGTAACTGGAGCCACACAGGGTTGACAGACTAGTCTTTTAGCAAAGAGAAAAGCACAGAGATTCCATTTCCCTCCGTTCCACCTAGTAGATATGTCGTTCAGAAAAATATGAGCCTCTGAAAATATCACAACCTGTCTCAGTGGTAGAGAAATATATGCATTGACTTGTTCCCAGAATAGAGTGATTTCAGGATATTGCAGAAATGTATGGTCTAATGAAGCAGCGTTCTCACTGCTTCTCCAACACCCCACTCATTCCTTGGCAGTGAAAGAACTCCTTCATGGACTTTTCATCTGAGGTCCACCCCTGGGCCTGCAGGTTTGACCCAGGCAGAAGTATCCCAGCAGCTGGGGGCCCTCCAAGCAACCTCCTTCCCACCAGGGTCTCCCCTTGCATCAGCCCACCTCTCGCACTTGGCTCTTTTAATGGGGCAACATAGGGCAACCTCCCTTGTCAGAAGCAATCTCAGTGCATTCTCCCTTTATTCTCCCTCAGTCTTCTCCCTTTATTTCTTCTGAAGAGAACAAAGTCTCTCAGCCAGGAGTCTCTTAGGGTTTGAAAGATCTGTCAGCTCTCAGCTTGGAATGAATAGGTGCCATGTTTACCAGATCATCTCTTGGGGAACATGAGGCACCTTCCCTCCCTCCCTCCCTCCTTCCTTCCTTCCTTCCTTCCTTCTGCCACTGCGTGCCCCAGCGCTTGGCGAGAAGCTGCACATGACTGTATAAGGGAGAAAACTTGGAAATGCTGCTGAAGAGCTTCCCTTCTTTCTTCCTTGCTTTTATTTCTTAAAAATAGTAGTGCAAAGGAGGGAGGTGATCAGGCTCCTGCATTTTTTAACACTTTGGTAGAAGGAGGACAGGGGAAATTTGTTCGCTAAACTTTAGTGGCTGACATTCTTGCCTTTGCATGATTATGAGAAAATACAGGAACCCCTTCCCTTTTTCAACCAGACTGTTCTCTGTTTGGCACAAATTCTGCTTGGAAAGCTGCTTGTTTGCCCCATGGATAAAAACCTATCAATAAATAAAACTGATAAAAATAAAACCTTGCTTTCTCGTGGATCTTCACTTGATGAGCCACTAGTGGAAGAAGATTTTTAAACATCTTTTTCATTACTGAAAGGCACCCAGATTTCAAAAACAGGTGATACTTTAGGGAAGGTAATTTATGTTAGCAAACAATGAAATCATCCCAAGATGGGACCCCAAGACAGCGGGGAGTAGGGCAGGCTCAGGTTAGGAAGAGGAAGGGAGATCAATAAAGCAGATGGGTGTTGCCTTTCTCTTTAAGAAATGGAGAAGACAAGGAATAATTTACCCAAGAGGAAAGCTGGAAATCCTGTAGGTAACTTGAGATGAGTTGTAGCTGCAGAGGTTGTACCTGCCTGTGTACTTTTTCACACCCTTCTGGCTTCTCCAAGGAGCAGCAAATGCCGGGGGGTTGATTCGTTCGCTGGCTACAGGAAAGCCATATGGACTTCTTGGGTGTGAGGCAGCCTGTTTTCCAGACCTCTCTTACTGATGTCTGCAGATAATCTCTATCCAGAAAACTGGGGAAGATCCTTTGGTACAAGGAGCGCTGCAAGAACGCGCCTCTTATTCTTATCCTCCTGGACCCACAACGGCGAGAGGGTCGTCAGAAAGGGTCACCGGCTGCTGTGGTCCGTGTCTGGGCTGGAGGGGGAGTTTCCAGACAAAGGCTTGTTGCAAAGACTCTTGACATCAAGAAGGCTCCCGGGGTGGATGCGAGGCAGGCAGGCTTTGCGTTGGCGAAGGGCGCCCCCGTTTTAAAAACTTGGGTGATTACTGGCGGAGTGTCAGTTACAATCCAAGCAGAGATGGGTGAATTGAGCACGTCGGTATTCTTCCTCTGTCTCTCCTTCTCCATGTGAAATATTGCAGGGCCTCCGTGCTTCCACGTGTTCTCTTCTCTGGTATCAAATGTAAAAGGTCGCTGTGCATAATTGACCGGCTCCTGGTGTGAACGGTGTGCGATGCCGATCTGCTATAGGCCGGAAGAGCTGGAACTTCACACCGAGGCATGGAGAAATCGTGATCCACTACCGTCCGACACGCTGTCCCCTCTCTTCCCGCGGGCCTCTTCTTCTTGGCTGCCAGCAAGTCCAGTGCCAGGGGGCCTCGGCGTGGCACACAGTTGCATCTTTGCCCCTGCCCAGCAAAGTCCATGGGATCGCCGGGGGTAGTTCAGGCTGCAGCCGGGGCTCAGAGTCACAGGGCCCAGCTGGCGCTCGTTTGTAAATGAAACGTCTTCCTTTCCTGATAGTCCGCCTCGTGGCAAGGACAGCCGGCGGCCTGATAAATCAATCGATGGCCGAGAAGGCCAGGCGCTCCCATCTGCCCTGGGTGGTTTTGCTGGTCGTTGGCAGATGTCTGGAGGGCAGCCCTTGGCACAGAACAGCTCTGGCTGGGCCTGCTCCAGCATTTGCAGTGGGAGATCTTTGTGGGTGTGAATTGTGAGAGCCACATTCATTTTTATGCGTCTAGCCTTTTCAGGATATACATTTTCATCTGTACCTACCGGTTGGCTGCACATAACATCCTGATTTTAACCCTCTTGTGAGCTTGTTTTTATTTATATTTAATTATTTAAGTGTTTTAAGTGGTTTTACAATATATTTTAATTGTTTGTTTTATTGTACACTGCCCAGAGTCACCTTGTGCGAGATGGGCAGCCAAATAAATAAGTAAGTAAGTACTGCTGTCTCTCTGCTCCGGGGAATGGGTAAAAAGCCAAAGGCCCCCTTGTTGCAGATGTGGGGGGTGCATCTGGATGCTTGGTGAGCAGGATTGCTTGCACCACCACACCAGCTTGTCAGAAGAGATTGCTTTTGGCATTTAAGGATTAGCTTCTCGACCGCCCAGGAACTGTGGGTCTCTCTGGGCAAATCAGCGATTTGCCATTTATAAATTCCTAGTCAAGTGCAGAAGGGTAGACAGATGTTTTGCGCCATTTGTCAGCATACTTACGGAGACTCGCTCACTCAGGAGTTTGGGGACACCGGGCTAAAGATCGATCTCTATCTCTTGTTCCGTGATTGGTCCTGGGCACAAACAGCCGAGTCTGGGTTCAAATGAACCTGCTAAGACGTTGTTTGGATTAGAGTACAGATAAGCAAACAAAGAGTCTTATCCCAGTCTCCAGCTGTTTTGGATTACAAGTCCCATCCACCCTGGCTACTGGCCATGGCCACTGGGGTTAGGAAAGGCCCCTCCAGAGTCCAACCCTGCTTGCCACTAATTCGCACAGATGAATGTTTTTTCTTCCAAACCTGTTTGTGAATTATCTTCCTTGCAAGGTGTGTTCTTACACACACACACACGCACTACGCACATAGAGTTGAGGGATAATCTTGTTACAATTGTAAATTAAACAAATTCATCCTTTTTTTTAAACAATAGGAAACAAATTAGTCCTGCCTTACATTAACTACAGAATCATGATGTGGGCTGCAGGAAACGCAGCAAGCCAAGTGGCAGGAATAACACGGGGCGCCCGAACGATCACCCCTGGGCTGGACCGAAGATCACCTCACCCTCTTCCACGAGCCCCCCGTTCACTGGCCGCCTCTCTGTTTTCTCATTGCAGTTTGTTGCTTCGTTGTCCACAAGAGGTGCCATGAGTTCGTCACCTTCTCCTGCCCGGGTGCCGACAAGGGCCCTGCCTCTGACGTGAGTAAACGCAACGGAGGGACCCCACAGGGCCCGCCTGGGCTGGTGGCTGAGGCCACAGAGCCCACTCTCAGCTGGGGATGCTCGGGGGGGGGCTCTGGGCCCACTCTGTCGACCGAACCTTTTGCGGGGAGGTGGGAATGTGATTTACACAGCCTGAAGGCAGAATATAAGCGAACAAGTAAATCGGGTCCATTTGGAGGTTGCTGCACTGCTCAGACAGTTCTAAAAAGTCAAAATTGCACATTCTGTGTGGTTTGATTTGAACAGGAGGAAATTCTGTTCATGGACTTGAATGTTCGCTCCTTGAACAGCTTTGGCGGCTGGTTTAGTTCATCCCATTCACGTGCCTTGGGTTGTGTGCGTGTGCATGTGCGTGCGCATGTCCATCTGGAAGAGGAAGGGGAGGCTAAGCATGGAGAACTGAATCCAGGCCAGTCTGGGTTAGGACCCCTGGTGAATCTGGGACTCCCCACAGAAAAGTATTCCTTATTTACAGGGGTGTCTGTGGGGAGGGGGAGTCACGACGCACGTAAAAGGGGAGGGGCTTTGATCCCATGGCCGCGGGCACCGCTGTGGCCTCCTTGCCCCTGCTCCTTTAGCCCATCCTGAGCTCGGCCTCCCCAGACACACCTTTCCTATTCTGGGTTTGGTTTTTCAAATGCTGCTTTGAGTACACACCAGGCTGGAGGGCAGAGTATGCTGAAAGAGAGCCTCTCTGCTCAGGGGCAGTTTTCCTGGCCCTCCTCCTCCATTTCCTGTGGAATCCAGCTGCCATGCAGGGCCGTCTGCAGAGTGTGGTCAAAAAAGTCAAGATGGAGCCATGATGGTGTGATTGAAGGTTTGCTCCAGGAACACCCTTGATAGACTCATTCCTGTGAGAGCAACAAAAGAAGCCGCTTCAAGCTGAACTGGAAGGTGCGCAGTTGTGAAACTTGTCAAGATGGCAAACTAAAAATTCAGAGTCTTGAAACTTTAGGGGGAAATGCAAAATAAGTCTGGAGCAAAATGCTTGCATTTTTCTCTTGCCAAATTCCAAACTTTTATACATATCTATAAATGGTGCCTAAGGCCCCTTTTAGCTAGGAACCCGGTAATTAATTAAACAATAAAAACTCAGAATCTGCTTTCAGCGGTCTTTAGAAAATCAGGAGAGAATCCACATTCTGGGCACCAACCAAGGCACGAGCCCCCCCCCCCCTTTAGGGGATGTGCTGACAGTAGGGAAGAGCTAATTTCAGGGGCTGCCACTGTGATTGATCTGGAGATGCTGATGAACCTCTTTGCTCCAGCAGGTTCTATTTTTAGTCTTTTGGTGATGGGCAGACCAAAATACACCCAGATGATTGTCCTCGCAGGCCAGCTGTCAGGCAGATGTGGAGCAGTTGTTTAAAACGTTGACCGAGGTGGGCTGGGGTGGGTTGTCTAGTCAACTGAACAGAGCCTCAGGCCTCCACGGCTCTGTTGCTCTCCCACCAGGCAGTGGGGAGTTGCGGGGCGGGGGGAGGAGAGATTTTCCTCTCCCTTCCCCTCCTGCTTACTTGGTCCCTGATCCTGGGCAGATTAGGGGATCTGCAAGGGCTTCGAGGGGCTCTGTGTTGAATATAGGGATGGTGTTTGAATGATATAGTCTTGTGAATGAAGGTCATGGCATTTTTGACTCTAGCTGCATCCCCCGTCTGAATCTGGCCTTGAGAGATCTCGCCCCACCCCAGACATACTCTCTCTCCACACCACGTGGCCGGGAGGCAGACGGTGCCGCCCTCCAACGTGAAGATATTTCTGGGTCATCAGACGGCAGCCCCTCCACCTTCCACCAGGGCTCGGCATCTCCAGTATTCCGTGAGGCTGCTCTGCTCAGCAGTTCCTCTGGAGAAACTCTTCCGTTGACCTGAGGAGCTCCATTTGCGGTGGGCCTACCAGAGGCCCGATACAGCTGCTCACCTCTTTGTTGAGCCTGAATGCAGGCAGACGATTGAGGACCTCCAAAGGTCCGTGAGTGTATCTCAGAGCATGTCTCTCCCTACGACGGCAGTGGCAGAGCAGCTATGCGCTGGCTTTGGGCAAAGGATGTGGTGGGGCGGTGGCCTGCAAGAGCAGCAGAGGTATTGCTGGCGTTGGTGGGGAGAACAAGGTCCCACTTCTTGGCTGCTCAGGAAATTGCTGCCCGCCTCACTACGGAGAAATCACATGCTCTTTTAATGCTGGATAGATGTACGCGTGCGGCGTCCTGCAGGATTGCAGTGTTGCTTCCACGCTTAGGTGCTGCACCTCATAAGGGTCAGGGAGAAGCTGCCCAGCTTCAGGAAAGAGCCACCCACACAAAAAGGGGGCCTGGAACCCCTGTCCTAGGAGAAAGCCCTAAAGTGCTGGGCATGTCTAGCCTTCAGGAGAGATTGAGGGGCGATACAATATCTAGGAGGCCTCAAGTGCAAGAGGGGGAATTAAGAAATCAAATCAAAGAAAGTGCAAGAGAAGGTAGACCTGTTCTCTGTGGAACCCAAGGTCAGGACAAGGACAAGGGTTAACACTCAAACAGATTAGGAGCCATTTCCGGATGGTAGAAGCTCCTAAGGAGTGGGACTGTTTGCCTAGAGCAGAGTTTCTCAACCTTGGCAACTTTAAGACATGTGGACTTCAACTCCCAGAATTCCTCAGCCAGCCA